TTGCTTTGTATCATGGCGTCTATGCTGCGGTGCTAACCGCTTCACCCGTCTGTGGTTTTGATGTTGTGGCTCGTTGTCGTATGATGAATGTCGTTTTCTTCTTTGTAATGATTATTGATCTGAATTACTCACTTCAGACTTCACACGGCTACAGTAACAGGAGTTTTAAGTTGTATCATGCCTCTCAGCCATGTGTGATTCAGTGAGAGCCCCTGGGAAATCTATAGAGTAGTCTCTTTTTTTGTTGTTGTCCCCATCCCTTTCAGATCTGTGAATACTAGACAAGACACAAGCGTCATAGTTGTAGTATTGGACACAACATCTCATCATAAAACATTTTACACTTGAGTTTCTTGGTTAGTGTCACAATTTTGTAGTTAATGTAGATGTTTAACTATTTCATTCCACTTTGCCTTTTTTTGTGATATTAACGTTGCCTGTTTCGATTGTACCAACCAGACTGTGACTCACTGTTCTGTTTATTTAATTTTTGTTTATTTAACATAATCATTAACCCATTTAATCATATCATCTGTATCATGTTTGTTTCCTCCCTTTTATGTTTCGTCTGCCCCAAGTCTGTTTATGTCCCTCACGCACTGGCGTTCAAGAGATCGTATGCCACAAAGGTAGTATCACATACATTCCCGCTGATAACCCTCCTGCACCCCGTCTCGCCTTCCTGCACACGTGCCAGTTTACTTCCATAACACGCTGCGTAGGCCTGGCCTAAAGCTAATCGTTGTTCTGTCTGGATGCATGCGACAGTTGGACAGCAACGCTCGCTCGCTCACTGCTGAATATCCACTCTGTTATAACACGACGTTTCCAATAGCGCTCTCTTTTCTGGTCACCATGATACCTCTGCATCTGTTGACACCCCAGGCTGTTCCTCTGTGACTGGTATGAGATTAATCTGTCACTGCGGCACTGTATTTACTCCAGTGTGGCTACTGGAGGACCTTTTCACATGTTTTCACTCAGTACTGTTTTCTCTTTCTGCTGTTTTGCGCTAGCTTAAATGCTCATCCTTACAGCGGAAACGTCTGTTTTTTGTCACATATGTATTATCTATTGTGGAGGATTATAACAGAGCTTGCAGCAAAGTTTATACGAAGTATGTTTCACACTGTGTTTTATGCAAGCATAACTTTTCTAGCCCCCGAGAGTCCCGTAGATGACCGATGAAGCTTTAAATAGCATTAGCCACTTTCCTGTTATCTCCTCTCCCTGTTAGAAGATCCAGAAAGTTCCCCTCAGCTAGTCTGAGCGCTCAGCACCTCATGGAGCCACCTACACACATTAGGACCTTGTGGATGAGACTTTTCTGATTTGCGTTTTGTTATTCCACACAGAAAACCTACACGGAGGAAGAGCTTAATGCCAAGCTGACGCGTAGAGTCCAAAAAGCTGCACGACGACAGGCCAAGCAGGAGGAACTGAAGCGGCTCCACAGAGCCCAGGTTTGTCCTTTCTTCTTTTAACAATAATAATAATAATAATAATAATAATGGATTGGATTTATATAGCGCTTTTCAAGGCACCCAAAGCGCTTTACAATGCCACTATTCATTCACTCTCGCATTCACACACTGGTGGAGGCAGCTACGGTTGAGCCCGGGGATCGAACCGGCGACCTTCCAGTTACAGATACGCTTCCCAACCCCCTGAGCCACGGTCGCCCCCATAAAGACTGTTTTTCTAATTTAATTTGGGAATTCAGTTTCCTGCGTTCTTCCTCTAACTTAAAAAAGTTCCCCTGGTGCTTTTTACCATTTGGTCACTCCTAATGTTTTGAGCTGAGGCCAGATTCATCCATTGTGATTGATGTTGTAACTGCAGTCAGACTCCGTCCCCCTGACTCAGCACTAAGCTCTCTTTTCTCCTGGAGCTGTCATTTGCTCGCCTCAGTTTTGCTTCCCTTTACTGGCTATTTGCAGGACCCCACAGGACTTCTTCTATTGCAGCTCCCAATTCTGTGTGGCACAGATAAACCCAACACCTGACAGAAGCTGTTACAGAAGATTCGAGAGGGGAAAAAACATTTTCACACAATTTGTGTGCTATAAAGCATCAAAAGTTTCAAATTAAAACAAAAAAAAAACAACTTATTTTTCTGTCTAAGAATGAGTCCAGTTATAAATCAAGACACTGAAATCTGCACGTTTTCTTGGGGTTTGTCCCATGTGGCTGTAGGCGTTAAATATAGTTGTCGTCGCCACTTCTGACATTTATATTTCAACAGAGTAAACAGCCGCATCGACTGAGCCCGTGTGGGTTTAGGGGGGATTTCTAATTACTGTTAGTTAGTTATCACCCTGTGCATTTATGATACTGATGTGCCTCTGCTGCTGATCGTCTCCTCAGATCATCCAGAGGCAGTTGGAGCAGGTGGAGGAGAAGCAGAGGCAGCTGGAAGAGAGGGGCGTAGCTGTGGAGAAAGCTTTGAGAGGAGAAGCAGGTAATAACTCGTCAGTCATACTTACATATATTGATTTTTTTTCATTCAGTTTGGCTTCCTATGCGCTCGTGCATTTTTAATATCGCGTATTAGACGCCTCACTTGTTAATTTTTTACAAGTACTTTGCCATAAATTTGACGTAAGATCTTGGTCATAAAAGCTGCTCACCAGAGGCCACGTTTTTATCTTTACGCAATATGAGTTCAGAGTTTTCTAGAGCTCCAAAGGGAATAGTAATAACAACCGCCAGGGTTACGTAACTCAGCAAACCTGTCCCTCTGCGCTCATTCGATTGTGCTGAAATGCGTGTGCGTTTACCATTTATTCACTTGTGCCGAAGCATAATTCAGCACATGATTTCGCATGCAGGAAAAAACACATTTATTTCTCCAAAGTAATAATCCCGAATTGTTTCCGACAAGGGACTATCACAGACGATGTACTTCCGAAATGAGAACTAAATAATTTCTTCGAGAGCAGCACAATTTTTTCTAAGCGTGAATTGTGCTCAGTAGTAATAATATAATATTTACATGATGTAGATTTGCATGAGGATAAAGTACGAAGGTCGACGTTGCAGCATTGAAATGATATTCCAGCCTAGTGCACTTTATGGTGAAGTTAATGGAATGAAATGAAAACTTTAATCATGCAAATGCATGCATCCAGACACACGGAGCATTAATTTCAGTCGCCGACCAAATGACTGTTTTACTTTACCATCCGCTGTTTATCCAGTTTGCTGTCTGAGTATGTTTTAACGTGTTAATACTCTACTCTCTTAAAGGATTGTATAAAGGTACTTGTACATTACCCAAACAGCACAAAAGAAGATCAGGTATTAGATTTTACTGTAGTTTTCTTAATTTTCTTTCTCCCTTTCCTTTTAATGAATCACACATGAAACTGTTACATAGGGTCCATCTGTGGTGACACACCGCAACAGTTCTCCATCTCCGAACATGTCGATATGTGTTCGTCCATAACGTGTCTGCCATCATCAGTCCGAGCTGCATGCGAACGAGGAGAATGCGTGTGTCCCCCTCCCCGACATAGATTGGTGTCTGCTCATTCTGGATGTGTTTCGTGTCTCTCACTGCCTCTCCAGTCAATACTCGGATCACGTTAGATTTTCTAAATGCAATCAGAATGTAAGAAATCAAATTCGGATTGGTTTGCAGCCCGACAACTTTGTTATTGGAATCATTTCTGCAAATATTTGCTGTGGTTGGATGACTTGATACAGATATTTCTTGAGATCTTGTCTTATCTTTTTTTTCAATTTACTTATTTTTTTTGCTGCATTGGGATAATGCTGCATAACAGCAATCCTGCTCTGCTTCCAGCTTATCTGCTCCACCTAAAGATCTCAGCACACGTAGATTTAATTGTACATAAGTGGAGAGCTAGTTCTTCTTTTCTGCTCAAATCAATACTAGGGCTGCCACAAACGATTATTTTGATAGTTGACTAGTCACAGATTATTTTTGCGATTAGTC